ACTGTCACGCGTCTCCTGGCCACTGTTCTCACTGACCCTTCCTTTGAGTCCACTGCTGAGTCTTCCTTAGTGGCTGAGCTTGTCGACTTCGCTGCTTGCTGTCCTCTAGACCACGCCACTAGTCTTGTTGCTGAGTCCGAGTCTGTCTGTCCTCCGTTCGTCGGGGGTGGGTGTGCTCTTAGCACGGACGTCCTTGAGGACAGGCAGGAGGAGTTCCAGTGTTTTGCTGCTGCTTTGCCTCATCTCGTGTCTACGCTGATTGCCCCTGAGGGAGACCCGGATGCACCAGACATCCCGACCCCTCGATCATACGCTGAGGCGATCAAGAGTCCCTACTCTTCTCAGTGGCAGTCAGCCATGGACGCAGAGATGGCTTCGTGGAAGTCCACAGACACCTACGTCGACAAGGTTCCCCCACCTAGGGCGAACATCGTCAGTGGCATGTGGATTTTCAGGGTGAAGCGGCCGCCGGGCTCTCCGCCTGTCTTCAAGGCACGTTACGTGGCTCGAGGCTTCAGTCAGCGGCACGGAGTTGACTACTTTCAGACCTTCTCTCCTACCCCGAAGATGACCACTCTTCGGGTGCTACTGCACATAGCCGCTCAGCGCGACTACGAGCTTCACTCTCTTGACCGGAGCACAGCTTTCCTGCAGGGCAGGCTGCACGAGGAGATCTGGCTGCGCCGCCCACCTGGCTTCACTGGGTCGTTTCCTCCTGGTACCCAGTGGAGCCTCCGGCGGCCAGTCTACGGTCTCCGCTAGGCGCCCCGTGAGTGGCACGACACAGTGAGGACTACACTTGCGGCTCTTGGGTTTGCTCCTTCTACAGCCGACCCGTCGCTGTTTCTGCACACTGACACCTCTTTGCCACCGTTCTACATCCTCGTGTACGTCGACGACTTGGTCTTTGCCACTGCTGACACTGCTGGACTCGCCCACGTGAAGTCCGAGCTGCAGAAGAGACACACGTGCACAGACCTGGGTGAACGGCGCAGCTACCTTGACTTGCTGATCACCCGGGACAGAGCACAGCGCACCATTACCCTGACTCAGTCACACATGGTGCAGCAGGTCCTTCAGCGCTTCGGCTTCGCGTACTCTTCGCCTCAGGCCACTCCTCTGTCTACTCGCCACTCGCTCTCAGCTCTGCCTTCGGATGAGTCCGTAGAGCCGAGTAGCCCGTACCCAGAGCTTGTTGGCTGCCTCATGTACCTGATGACCTGCACACGACCTGACCTTGCATACCCTCTTAGCATCTTGGCACGCTATGTTGCTCCTGGGAGACACCGACCAGAGCACATGGCTGCAGCGAAGAGGGTGTTGCGCTACGTGTGCAGTACGTCGGGCATGGGGCTAGTGCTTGGAGGGCGACGTCGAGTGGTCCTCACAGGTCACGCTGACGCTTCTTGGGCTGACGACCAGGCTCTGCAGCGGTCGTCACAGAGTTACACCTTCAGCCTTGGCTCCGGCTCTGTTTCGTGGCGGTCTACCCGCTCGTCTTCTATTCTCAGCTCCAGCTGTGAGGCTGAGATCTACGCAGGGGCCATGGCTGCACAGGAGCTATACTGGCTCACCTACATGCTGACTGACCTAGGAGAGCCGTCTCGTTCTCCTCCAGTGCTGTACGTAGACAACAAGGCCATGCTGGCCTTGTGTCGGGAGCACAGACTGGAGCACAGAGCGAAGCACATTGCTCTCCGCTACTTCCTGGCTCGTGAGCTGCAGCAACGTGGTCAGCTCCGCCTCACCTACGTGGCCTCTGAGGCCAACACTGCTGATATCTTCACCAAGGCCCTTCCGCCTAGTGATCATCAGCGCTTCTGTACTTAGCTAGGTCTTGTGCCTACCTGGCCTCACTTGCTCACTTCTTGATCTTGTTTGTACTGTACTCTTTCTATACCTGCACTTGCCTGTTTACCTTTTTATATATGATCTTGCATGTGAACTGGCCTTGTGGCCTTGCTCTTGTGCTCGGACTGTGTGGTGACTTTGTGATCCACCCTGAGCTTGCTTTGCTTTGCTTGACTGGTCTTGTGACCACTTGTTCTCCCCCACTTTGCCTATGGGGGTGTGTCAGAACATTATAGCTTATACATCTGTGTAGGCTGTAGTGGGGTAGCCCATAAGGGGTACAACCCAATTAGGGTTAGTACTTGTACCAAACTGTTTCATAGTTCAATCATTCTCTCGTTCTAAGTTTCACATTATCGCGGTGGAATTTCTCGGACACTGAGTGGGGCAACCCATTTGGTGCTACTGTCGCGGACATCATGCACGTGCTGGACTCTGGGATGGTGCTGCACTTGCTGGAGAACCACATCGCTGTTCTTTCCAAGCCACAGAGGCGAGAAGTCGAGAGGTTAGTCGTATTGTAAACCTGGGATATGGGCGGAACATAGAGCAGAATGACGTGAGCACGATGTGAAGTGAATGCATGTGTTTAGGGTTACACAAGGGAGGTCCTATGTTAATCCCTGAGAGCACCCCTTTCCGGGCCCTCCACCCCTCCAGGCGCAAGAAGACAACTAAAGGAGAGACACCAAGTGTTCTATTTCGTCTACCCGGAGGCAGTTCCTACTTCATGAGTGGGGCCAACTACACAGCCTTCGAACACCGCAGCATGATGCAAGTGATGCCAATTTTGGTGGCCGACAAGTCTGCGCTGCAAGCAGGAGAGGCGGGAGACCTGGCTGCGCTCCGCGTGCGTGCGTTCAGGATGTACGCAGCCTTCTACAAGGCGTTTCTGGGTGTCAGCGGACACACGGACTCCTCTCTCGCCATCGCCCGTGGACACGCCATCAAGTATGGAGTATAATCCGGGCGTAGGTATAGTGGACGCAGAGTTGGGTGCTTGCTGTCACTTACCGCATCTTTGATTTGCGTGTTCGTTTCTCCGACGGGACGTGGCATGATCCACAGGCTGGTCGAGATGCAGGCGTATCCGGATCATGCATCGCATTGGCGCTTTCCAAAGATTCACATGATTGTCCACATGGTGGACAATGTGATCATGCGCGAAATGCCGCACCACTACAGCACGGAGATGTGGGAGCATACCCACAAGGGGACGGTCAAGATCCCTGGTCAGGGGCAGCAAATGGAAGGACATCCCCCGACGCATCGTGGAGGAGGAGGTGCAGAGAGAGATCTGCAGGGAGGTGGCACAGGACGCGGGTGGCGGGCGTGAGTATGCGACGGCGCTGTGCGAGGTGAGACTGTGCGTAGCATATCCCATGCATGACTGTATGATCGTTGGACACGTGAATACCGCGTGACTTGTCTGCGGACACGATCGCGACATACCCATTGCCTTCCACACCCGCAGGCTGTTGAGACGATGAAGCCCGTGCTCACGAGGAAGGGACTCACAATGTGGCCGGCGGAGGAGGGAGATGCGGTGATGGGTACCTACCGTACGGCACTTGGCGACCTCATGGATGCGCTACCAGGCAGCATGGTGGCTGCCAAGATCACCGCATCTAAGGTCGTGGTGCGTACACATGTGCAAGTGTATCCTCCACCAAAGTTGTTCTTGAGTGCTTAGGCTCCGTATGTGTGCGTATCGAGTATACACCCGATCTTGCTCCTTATCCCAATGCCCCACTCATGTAGGCCCACACCGCGGTGGCGATTCCGCGCACCAAAGGCGGAGCACTGGTCCCCAAGGGGGCGTTCATCAAGGCAAGCCCCAAGCACTCTGACTTTGCAGTGAAGTCAGGCAAGAAGGAGGAGTGGTATGCGAAGGCGCTGTGTATTTTCAAGGTGGCGACGACAGAGGGCGACCGGAAGAGGTTTGTGTACGTGCGGTGGTATGAGAGGGCAGGCATATTCCCCCTCACCACCTGCGTGCAGTCAACACCGTCACGCAAGGACACAAGGCACGCAGTGATTGAGGTGGAGAGCATTCTGCGAGTTGTGCACATTTGCCGCTCTTTCAGCAACCCTGCAGTGTTGCTGCTGAACAAGTTTCTTCTGTGTGAGTGATATTGAGGTGGGGGTGTGAGGAGGCGTTTGAGGGTTGTGGTGTGCATATGCTGCAGTCATTTTCACAGCTGGCTACTAAAACTGTAGAATTACACGCCCTAGTCGCATGATGAAAGACGGGTTGTCACTTGGGCGATCTAGAGACCAACACATAGAGCGCCATGACCGCAACTGTAGTGCCGTGGTGTCTACATGCTTATGCGATCTTTGTAGCTGTTATCAGAACACTCTAGTCTCTTTGAATTGTGAGTGTACTTAACTTAGGCGAGACAGAGGGGTATGCTGTATTGCGCACTGAGTGAAACTGCAAACCCCTGGGGGGCGCGGTTTGGTGTTGCAAGCTACAGGTACGTGGCACGCCCGCGTTCCGGCGAGGGACGGAGTCACGGTTGGGGCGTGGGTGTAATCAGAAAGACGCACAACCATTGGTGCGCAGGTTCGTATCATTGGTGGACACTATTGGGGGGTATACCAAGTGCGATTGCTTTCTGGGTACGGGGTTCTAATGGTATGCTGATGTGGCACAAGTGTGGCCTCAGTTGTTAATACAGCAAGAACCGCAAAGCACAAAGAAACCCATGCACTTGCCGGGATTGTGTTTCACCCAGCGTTGCAGCATACTTTTTTTAAGAAATGGCGTCCCTGGTATCCCTCCTTGAGGCATTGAAGGCACCGCCCGAAAAGGTGTTCACTTTCACGGAGTTTCCGTTAATCCCCACACGGGTGCCGTTAGGCACGTCTGTGGACGAGCGTGAGCAGCTATCGCGGGAATGGCACATGCCCGTATGCTTTGTGTACAACGCGACAGGATGTGTCCGCAAACCGCCGATCGTTGTTCTACGACGGGACGACAAGAGGCCAGTACATGAGGGGCGCAAGAAGAATCATGACGTGAAAGTGCGCTACGCCAAGAATGGGCGCTTTTCTAGCGAGGTGAGCGGGTTCAAAGGTGGGATTTGTAGGTTGATCGTCATTGTTTTTTGAGGTGCAATTTTGGTGACCGTCGTTCCGTACTCATGTCGTCACCACGGACATCCGCCGTGTTGTGTGCGCAGTTGTTCTCTGAGTTCGTCGACGAGTTAAACGGGGAGTTGCATGCGAAGAACGAGAAGGCGGTGGTGTTGGTGCACAACCCTTCGCACACCCTCACCGGGTGTGTGAAACGGACAAGCACAGTGGAGGGGTTTGTCGTGGAGGAGCTGACACGGGTGAAGGTTGTGCAGACATTTGGCGTGATGCCGGCTGCTGCGTTTTCTGCGATAAATGGTGTTGTGGACACATTGAAGGCAGTTTTTCGGACGTGGTTTCGGCGAACGGCAGTCACGAGCACGGAGTGGACCCGTGCGGGCATTTTTCCACAGCCGCCGCTGCACGATGTCCTGTACAAGCTGTTCATGGCGTGCAAGTTGACGATGCCGGGGACAATCCAGAGGAGTTGGTGGCGGGCCGGTAGCGTGCCGAAGGGCTGGCTGTTCGCGGATGGACAACTTGAAAGGGAAAGCTGCGGCAGGGATGTTTGACGGTCTGGTACTGCAGTTGACGAGGCTGCAGCTGGTGATTGAAGAGTTCATATGCAAGTGCAGCAGCACGGCGTTTATGACGGCGTGGGATTTCGTGGGGTGTGACGAAGGCCTGATTGAGAAGTGGGCGCCAGCGAGGGGTTTCGAGGACGAGTCCGAGGATGAGATTCCGACATATTTTTGCATTCCGGAGGGGCCGCTAATGCGCGACAGCCGTAGCTGTCGTCGCGTGAGCCGCATGGTCCATGATTGTTTCGTGAAGCAGGCGGAGGCATTGGGTATTCCACCGCGCGACGTGCCAGAGGAGGCCGGAGTGGTGAATGAGGAGGTGGTGAGCCGCCTTCAACGCACGCCCACTAAGCGCAACCGGATGGGCCGCTATAGTGATGAGGGGATCACGTCTCACGCGTCGGATGAGGCAGGCCAATCCCGGAAGGCAGGGGTGCTGTTCCCAGTGGAGGATGACAAAGAGAGCGTCGTACGCTTGGTCTAGGGCTATAGGGTGGCTATGCTTTATCATTGTGGTATGGGGGGGCTGAACATAGGGAGCACTATGTGACGGTGGCGTCACAATGTTTTAGCTAATGTGTGTGTACGGATTGCATGAGCTGTGAATTGGGCGATATTATTTCCATCTGTTGTGTTTGCTACTCAATAACGAATGCACTTCTGTTTCACGTGTGTTGCTTTGTCGGTTAGCGTTTATGTGAGAATAAGCGAACAGGAATGAATGAACTAGCAGTGAAAATGAGTACAAGTAGGAAACCCTAGAATTGTGTACCCTCCTATAGGCTAACCCACTGTAGCCTACACAAGCATAACATATATAATGTTAGACACACCCCCATAGGCAAAGTGGAGGAGAACAAGGGGTCACAAGACCAGTCAAGCAAAGCAAAGCAAGCTCAGGGTGGATCACAAAGTCACCACACAGTCCGAGCACAAGAGCAGGGCCAGAGGCCAGTTCACATGCAGGAGTACAGACATATATATAAAACTAGACAAGCAAGAGCAGGTATATATATATGTCACAGTACAAGTGAAGTCAAGAGGAGAGCAAGTGAGGCAAGACGGGCACAAGACCCAGCTGGGTGCAAAAGCGCTGATGGTCACAAGGCGCGAGTGCCTTGGTGAACACATCAGCAGTGTTAGCCTCAGAGGCCACGTACGCAAGTCGCAACTGACCACGCTACTGCAGCTCACGAGCAAGGAAGTAGCTAAGAGCAATGTGCTTCGTTCTGTGCTCCAAGCGCTGCTCTCGACACAAGGCCAGCATGGCCTTGTTGTCTACGTACAGCACTGGAGGAGAACGAGGCGGCTCTCCAAGGTCAGTCAACAGGTAGGTGAGCCAGCGAAGCTCCTGTGCAGCCATGGCCCCGGCGTAGATCTCAGCCTCACAACTGGAGCCGAGAACCGAAGACGAGCGAGTAGACCGCCACGAGACAGAGCCGGAACCAAGGCTGAAGGTGTAACCCTGTGACGACCGCTGCGTAGCCTGGTCGTCAGCCCAAGAAGCGTCCGCGTGGCCGGTAAGGACCACTGGACTCCGCCCTCCAAGCACTAGCCCCATGCCCGCGTACTGCACAGGTAGCGCAATACCCTCTTCGCTGCAGCCATGTGCTCTGGTCTGTGTCTCCCAGGAGCAACATAGCGTGCAAGAATGCTCAGAGGGTATGCAAGGTCAGGTCGTGTGCAGGTCATCAGGTACATGAGGCAGCCAACAAGCTCTGCATACGGACCACTCGACTCTACGGACTCATCCGAAGGCAGAGCTGAGAGTGAGTGGCGAGTAGGCAGAGGAGTGGCCTGAGGCGAGGAGTACGTGAAGCCGAAGCGCTGAAGGACCTGCTGCACCATGTGTGACTGAGTCAAGGTAATGGTGCGGCGTGCTCTGTCCCGAGTGATCTGCAAGCCAAGGTAGCTGCGCAGTTCACCCAGGTCTGTGCACGTGTGTCTCTTCAGCAGCTCGGACTTCACGTAGGCGAGTCCAGCAGTGTCCGCTGTGGCAAAGACCAAGTCGTCGACGTACACGAGGATGTAGAACGGCGGCAGGGAAGTGTCGGTGCGAAGAAACAGCGACGGGTCAGCAGTAGAAGGAGCAAACCCAAGAGCCGCAAGCGTAGTCCTCAGTGTGTCGTGCCACTCACGCGGTGCCTGGCGGAGACCGTAGACTGGCCGTCGGAGGCTCCACTGGGTGCCAGGAGGGAAAGTCCCAGTGAAGCCAGGTGGACGGCGAAGCCAGATCTCCTCGTGCAGGCTACCCTGCAAGAACGCAGTGCTGAAGTCGAGAGAGTGAAGCTCGTAGTCGCGCTGAGCGGCTATGTGCAGCAGCACCCGAAGAGTAGTCATCTTCGGGGTGGGAGAGAAGGTCTGAAAGTAGTCAACTCCCTGCCGCTGACTGAAGCCACGAGCAACGTACCGTGCCTTGAAGACAGGTGGAGAGCCCGGCGGCCGCTTCACCCTGAAGATCCACATGCCACTGACGATGTTCGCCCCAGGAGGGGGAACCGCGTCAACGTAGGTGCCTGTGGACTTCCAGGAAGCCATCTCTGCATCCATAGCTGCCTGCCACTGAGAGGAGTAGGGACCCTCTACGGCCTCCGCGTAAGAACGCGGAGTCGGGATGTCTAGTGCATCCGGGTCTCCCTCAGGGGCAAGCAGTACAGACGCGAGATGAGGTGAAGGAGCCGCTAGACACTGTAACTCCTCCTGCCTGTCCTCTAGGACGTCCGTGCCAAGAGCACACTCACCCTCGACGGACGGAGGACAGACAGACGCAGACTCAGCAACAAGACTAGCAGCGTAGTCGAGACGACAGCGAGCAGCAAAGTCGACGAGCTCAGCGACTAGAGCAGACGCAGCAGTGGACTCAAAAGAGGGGTCAGTGACGACAGTAGCAAGCAGACGCGTGACAGTAGGACTGGCAGCACGAAGAGAGTCCGACTCAGGGTCGGCAAGCGCAGGAAGAGAGGACTCAGGAGGAGAAGGCAAAGGGGCACGCAGAGGAGCAGTGGACGGACGCAAAGACATCCGGTGCGTGCCAGGGACAGGAGGAGGACGCTGACGCGAACTGCGACCACTAGCGCGACCACTAGCGCGAGCAGCACGAACAGGCGACGCGGGACGAGACGCAGGCTCACGACGCTCAGCAAGACCTCCAATAGGACCAGTGTAAGGAGAGGGAGCAGGCAGTGGAGAGGAAGGCTCCAGCAGGGACTGCGACTGGACAGGCGGTGGACCCTCTACTGGAGGAGAAAGACCAAGAACCTGCTGCAGGAGCGGAACGAAGTACGGCCGAGGCCGCGCGGCAGCTCCAGACTCAGCAGGGACAGCACCAGCACCCTCAGCGACAGCCCCAGCGCCACCCACACCTCCAGCGGCAGGACCAACAGTAGTAGACTCAGCACCAACGCCCTCAGCAGCTCCAGCTCCAGGAGGACCCGCAGGTCCAGCAGCTCCGGGACCGGCAGCACCCGCACCCTCGACGGTCGAAGAAGCTCCAGCTCCAGCTCCAGCAGCACCTCCAGACTCAGCAGCACGCCTCCAGCGGCGAGCGAACCACTCGCGCAGCTCCTGTGGAGAGAGGGGCTCCCGGCGAGACGCAGCAGCAGGAGAAACCCCAGGCTCAGCAGCTCCACACGCAGCACCCCCAGGCTCAGCAGCTCCCAGCTCAGCACCCCCAGGCTCAGCAGCTCCCGACCCAGCACCCCCAGACCCAGCACCTCCAGGCACAGCACCCCCCGGCTCAGCACCCCCAGGCTCCGCACCCTCAGCAGTAGCACCCCCAGGCTTAGCACCCCCGCGCACAGCACCCCCAGAGTCAGCACCCCCAGGCTCAGCACCCACAGCAGCACCAGAGTCACCATTAACCTCGACCGGGTCAGCGGCGTCTACCTGGGACACACCTGAGGGGGCAGGAACCTGAGGGGGGAGGGGGTCTACCGGGGGGGGAACCGGCACAAGGAAGTCCGGGGGAGGGGGGAGGGAAGGAGTGCGGTAGGGGAAGAGACGGTAGAAGGGGACTGACTCGTCGAACGTGACGTCCTGGGAGGACAGAACACGACGAGAGGAGGGGTGGTAAAACTGCCACCCTGGGGCGTCAGTGGGGAAGCCAAGGAAGACACAGGGAGCAGCACGAGGGGACAGCTTGTCCGCAGACAAGTCGCGGACAAACGCCCGAGATCCCCAGACACGGAACACAGACGCATCGCCAACCTTCCCCGTCCACAGCAAGGCTGGGGACATCGCAGGCCGAGAGACCCGGGGGTGAAGGTTGAGCTGATGCGCCGCGTACCTCACCGCAAACGGCCACAGAAAATGGGGGGCAGCCGCATGCATCATGGACGTACGAGCGACATCCATGACCATGCCAATGCGGCGCTCAGCAATCCCATTTTGCTGTGGTGAGTCCGGAAGCGTGAAGGTCTGGCGGATCCCCCGTGCACGACAGTAGTCTCGCAGAAGGCGAGAAGAGAACTCTCCGCCTCTGTCCGAGTGCAGACGCAGAACAGGAAAGTCCGAGCCGAAGCTCTTCCTGAGCTGGAGACGAGCCTCGCGGATCCAGTCGATCAGCACCTCAGTGACCGCACCCTTGCTGCGCAAGGGGAGGACTGTGGTGTAACGCGAGTAGTCGTCAACCACCAACAGGAAGTAGCGCTCGTGACCCTGCCCACGGACGGGGGCTGGGCCCCACACATCCATGTGAAGCGTCTGCAGGGGAGCCTCTGTCGGGGGGAAGTGGGAGGAGTGAGGAGTAGCCCGGAGGCGACCCTCGACACAGGGGACACAGGAAGGTCCTGGCCCGGAGGGGAGAGGAGGGAGAGACTGGGGAAGACCAGAGACAAGGACACGGGAAGCCATGCTCCGAAGACGGGGCAAGGAGGGGTGGCCAAGACGGTGGTGCCACAGGAGAGTCTCGTGAGACAGGAGGCGACAAGAACAGGGGGCAGACTCAGGACCTGACCGGGACGCAGCAGCAAGCACCTGACCTGACGCAGCCACCTGACCGGACGCAGGGACAGGAGGAGACGAAGTGGTCAGGGTGTAGAGACTCGACCCCGGCCGACGCGAGAAGGTGGCCAGGTGTCGGCCTGTGCGTGCGTCCGTGCAGTGGGTCACCCGCTGACTCGCAGGAGTGAACTGGTGAACCCCCGCATCCTGCAGGGCTGCACCACTCACCAAGTTCGTAGAGAACGAGGGAAGGTACAGACCAGACAGGGTGCCCGAAGGGGCAGCCGGACACGGGAGGACAGTGGAGAAGTGAGACAGGACAGGACCCCCAGAGGGGTCAGCAAGGGAGACTGCAACCGGCCGGCCGAGCGGCGTAAGGGTAGTGCGGTCTCGAAAGAAGGAGCGAGAAGCCTCGGAGTCAAGTGTGAAAGTGAGGGAGGACGAGGACGACGCAGTACCTGAGAGCGCAGTCTCACCAGTACCTGAGAGCGCAGACGCACTGGCACCTAGAGCAGCAGCCTCACAAGCACCTAGCGCAGCAGTACCAATGCCCGGGTCGGGCTGGAAACACCGGTAACCCTCATTCTCCTCACTATAAGTCACAGCATACATAGCAGCAAGGATAGCATCAAAATCAAGATCAAAGATCGCTACACCAGCCCTAAGAAGCTCATCCCAGTGAGGGATCTCACTAGCCCCAGGGAACTGCTGACGCCAAGCGTCCGTCAGGCGGCCAAAGCAGCGCTGGGTGGCGTGGGCACCCCCACACTGCTCACCCGCGCGGTCGCCGTAACGAAGAACGTAGGTGCAGGGACCAGTACCCCCACCCCTCTGACGCCCAGCGTACCACTCACGAAGCTGCTGAGGCGGAGGGATGTCCCGCGAGCGCTGCTGCTGCTGCCGCTGCGAGCGCTGGCCACCACCACCGCCGCTACGCTGCTGGGTACCACCCCGACCAGCTCCACCTCCTCCACTACCACCGCCTCCTCCGCTGCCGCCTCCACCTGCCTCCACCTCCGCCGCCTCCACCTCCGCCGCTGCCTCCACCACCACCGCTGGCACCACCACCACCGTCTCCGCCGCTGCTGCCACCACCACCACCACCCCCGCCACTAGTCCCGCCGCCACCCCCACTCCCTCCGCCGCCACCGCCGCCACCGCCACCGCCCCCTCCAGCTCCACCCGCGCCCTTGCCCCCCTTGCCCTTGCTGGAGCGACGTCTCCCACTAGGGGCAGACGCCGCGCCGACCGACTCAAGACCAAGCAGGTCGGCAGCAGCAGCAGAGGCAACAGAGGGCAGCAAGGGGGACAATGAGTACAAGTAGGAAACCCTAGAATTGTGTACCCCCTATAGGCTAACCCACTGTAGCCTACACAAGCATAACATATATAATGTTTGACAGTTTAGTAGTTCGGGAATAGGCTGTAAACCCTAAGGGGATCGTTCTCGCGGCAGTGTACAAACACATAACGCAAAACACAAGCGAGTGTTCCTTGTATGCGGTGCCAAGGTGTGCTTTTTCGTCGAACCGAGTCTGCCAATGTGCGAGATTTCCCGAGCCGCTCTGGAATTTGGACGTTCCGAAGCGCAAACCGCCTGGCATCCGGCTGCCTTTCTCAGTGTGCAGGACTTAGTGGCATTTTGGGTAAGATGCAATTTCGGGTTGTTGTTTTGCAGATACTTTTCTGCAGCTTTTGTGCAACTTTCCTGCAACTCTGAGACTTTAACTCGAAAATTGGCCAAACCCTTTTTCGCGATGTGGCTCGCGACGAGTCGGTTCATCGCAGATGGCTCTTCTCGCGGGCGACGAGCTCTTGCGAGGCAGCGATTCCAATCGGCGACGCGTAGTGACGCCATTGCGAGCGCAGCGAAGCCAACCAGGTTAGTCCGCGCAGTTCCCTTCAATCCACTCGTCGCTCATCTTTTCGCGTAGATAAACGTATTCCTAGTTGCCTTCGCGTATTTTCGTCTTCTCACCTTTCGAATTGGTCGCGTGTTCTACGTGGTATGGCAGGCGCGTTCGGCGATGCGCGTTCGCTCGCTCGCTCCGCAAGCCGCGCGCCTGCTGCGGTAGCTGCGCGACGGCGTGAACGCATGCGCGCAACGAATGGTGCGTCGCGCTCGCCTCTGGCGGACGTGGATTCACCGCGTAGCGCCGTGCTGCATGCCCCACCTCGCACCCTCGCTCACGTCACGGCGCGTGTTCGTCAGGTGAGCATTCCACCTGTCCGCTGATTGATCTGATTGACTTCCGCCGTCCCAACCAACAGCAATTCATTTGCTTGATGCCGATTCCGGAAATCACCCACATCACTGATGTCTATTTGAACGCCGTCTTGGTGGCATCGGTGGGACCTTGCTCTCTCTTCCCTCACCTGCTGCTGCCCTTCACTCTCGCTTCTCGCTTCCACTCTCTCACCATTCCCTTTCCTTGCCCATTCTCACTCGCCTCTTCGTCACAAAGAATTGGAGCACCCAAAAACGCCGGAAGGGCTACCATGCCTAGGTATGCTAAAAAAAAATATGTACGAAGTTGCCGCAAGGAATGCTCGATGAAACCCTAGAACACAACGAGTACATCTGGCACACTGTAAGGATTGCAACCCCTTTCCCAAACCATGAGAAAACGACTACCAAATGCACCAGTTACCGTGCGAAGGTGACTTCATGTTACTGTTTTCGTCGCAGCTGAAACTGTTATGCAAAATTTGTGACCTCGACTAAAGTGTACACCACAATAGCGTGGGGTACCGACCTGAACCTATATGCAGCCACTCAGTAGCGGGTACCCTTATCAAAAGGACTCTGACACGTCATTGCGAACCCACCCTCAGACGCGATGCTTTTTTCCAGCGCATATGAAGCACGTGTGCTGGAACTTGGTGACTAGCAACCCTGAGCAACAGTAACCACTTCGATCACACCTCGCCAGCCTCTCAAATAGCCCCATCCGTGCTATGCTGGCACAGCTGGCAACATAATCGAGACCTGCGACTCTGGGGAGGGAAGGGAAAGGGTGACCTTGAGCTTCAAAGGTGCCCTTTTCCAGGCATCGCGTTCAATTGTGCTTCACTGATGCATTCCCTTCCCAAACTCGTACCTTGGTGTCCTTCTGCTCCTTCGAATCTCTTCGAGCCACGTTACTCACCACCCCGCCCATTCCTCTATTCCCTTTTCCACGACGCCCCCTCTAGCAGATCACTCTGTCCGTCCGCTTTTGGCGCACGAGGCGGCATACAAACAGCGTTTCGCGATGGCCAGGTTCGTTTCTTCAGCTGAACATGTAAGTATTGCTGCAGGTTCGTTTCTTCAGCTCGTCGGGCTGCTTGTTTGCGCCCAATTGATGCGTGGCAGCACTCTTTCACCAGTGTTTTTGTTGCGCAGGTCTAATATCCCATTCTGGGATTTCGAGAAGATCGTATGCAGTTTCTGCCGCGTTTGCCGAATCGCATCTCCGAAGACGGTGTGAAGGGCACATCGCCCACTCTGCCTGAGGTCGCTGCTGTTCCCATCCCAATCCGCCGGTTACACCTCGCTAGAGGACAGCACGCTTGGGTGCGCTGAAGGATAACTGTCACTTCGCACATTTAGCCGCCAATCTGTCGCATCCATGCCTATGAAATGTCGTACACACTTTGATGTGCCCTTGCTGTGCGACAGGTTGAACTTGCCTCTGCTTCAATTACCGCTCATGCATGCTTATGTTTTGTCTAGCGCTCAAAATCGCCCATGCATGCTTATGTTTTGTCTAGCGCTCAAAATCGCCTATGTTCCAAACCTGTGCATTTTTTAACCTAAGAAACTACTCCGCAATGTATCACGCTGTTGTACCTAATCGTTGAATCGATGTTTTACCGTTTCGTTGTGCTCACGGTGTATGTTGGTCTAATCTACACAGTCCCAGCACCCTAAAATTCGTATCAATAAATGCAGTGGTTACCCGGTTTCCACGATTTGTGACAACCCATACCTCGTTATTGCCTCTCTTTTTATAGCCAGTTTTTATTTTTAGGTGTGCACGGAACATTGGTAATCGGAAAACGGTGCTCACCGTCAAGGGGGCAAAGAATGTCTCGAGAGTGTTAAAACAATCTCTAGGGTTTGTCCCAGAGGGATGCTGGCGCAGTCTCCCAACACTCCCGCCCCCTCTCCACGCATTGTTCATAATAATGTTAGTTGTATGTTGCCCAGAGGTACTTCAGACAGTCCCTTTGCAATGTATGTACATTGTTTTCGCCGCAATTTTTTTGTGACGTTTGCGTTCCCCTTCTCCTATCCCTCCCTGGCAGGTCACTGGCGCAGCTGCAGGCACAGGCAGCACGCAGCAGGCAACAGGCGACAGGCACACGCAGCACGCAGCATTCAGCAGGCAACACGCAGCAGGCAGCAGGGAGCGGGCAGCAGGCAGCAGGCAGCAGGGAGCGGGCAGCAGGCAGCAGGCAGCAGAGAGCACGCAGCAGGCAGCAGGGAGCGGGCAGCAGTGAAGCGTTGACTATCTCCGCCTTCAAGCTGAGTGCCTTGTACTCGCTGTTCAAGGTTTGCGCTGTTGCACTGTTTGCGTGTCGCATCCAAATCGGGGCACCCGTGAGGGCACAACTCGCGAGTCACAGACCACATCCCCACAAGAGCCGCTACCAACCTGAACCTGCACCTGAACCTGAACCTGAACCTGAGAGGAAGTGGGCTCGAGTGGAGTGTGGTGGCAGGGGCGATAATGCAACCTCAATCGTTGATGAGGCCCTTGCCTGTTTCAAGGCCTGCACTCACTCCCCTCCTGGCCTTCCCTTCCGTTCTGCCCCCCTCCAGGTCATCTCGCAATGCAGCAGAGGCAGCTGACGGGACAAGTTGTAGCAGCATCAGCAGTGGGGAGCACTGATGCAGCAGGGGAGGGGAGAGGAGGGAGGGGGACACAAGGCGGCATCTCTCGGCGGCTCTTCAGCTGCCAGCTAAGTGCTTTCGCCTCCCTGGACTCACTCTTGCCTGCTGCTCACTGCTCATGCTGAATCACTCTCTTCGCTTTCGCATGGCCTTCTGTGCTGTATCCCTGAAATATTTTCGCTGGTTGGGGGCCCGCTTCAAAAGCCACAGACCTTCTTTTATTCTTGGTAATCCCTCAGGTTAAGCCCTCCCTAGACTTTTACAGCCCAATCAGGTACAACCCCTACAGCAGGTTAATCCCCCCAGGTTCCCTCAAAGGTCTGTGGCTTGTGCTCTCGCCTTCACCAGTGGCCCCTCCCCTCGCATGTGCTGCTTTCAAACTTACAGCTTCCCAGTCAGAATCATTTCAGGATTGCAACACTCACAAGCTCTGTGCGTGCTCGTTGCAGGTGGAGGGGAGGGGCGCTGGGGTCAACACCGACACTTCCCCACCCCTCTCCCCGGTGGCCGTGCAGGAGGGAGGGAGGGAGGCAGCGCTGGGAGGGGACGGGAGGGAGGCAGCACTGCAGCAGGGCAACCCCACTGCTTAAAGGGAGAGTATGGGCTTGGGTCTTCCAAGGTAAGCCTCTCTCCAGCTCTTTTCTGCCACACTCACTTGTTGCTGTGGGTCTTTGGCGCTGCCTGCGATTTATCCTTCTGCTTCGCCCTTGCTCACCCCACGACCTTCACTCACTCGCCTCCTGTCCTTCCTTCTGTCTGCCCCCTTCCAATTCCCTCTTAATGCAGCAGAGGCAGCTCAGTGGCAGCAGCAGCAGCAGCAGCAGCAGCAGTGGCGGCGGCAGCAGCAGTGGCGGCGGCAGCAGCAGCAGGAGGGGAGGGAAGGGAAGGAGTCAACATCTTCAGCTGCCAGTTAAGTTCCTTCTCTTCCCTGGTATCACCCTTGCTTGCTGCTCTTTCCTCTCATTGCTGCCTGAATCATTTTCACATGTGCCTCCGCGCTTTCTCCCTAAACAACTCGCCACTGGTTGGGGCCCGATTTGCAAGCCACGGACCCTCCCCCTTAGCTCCTAAGCCCGTCAGGTCAAGCCCTCCCCAGGCCTTACACCCCCCTCAGGTTACCCCCTACTTCCAGGTCATTTTTCAGGTTCAGATTTTCACGTTCCCTTGATGGTCTGTGGCTTGTGATTCTCCCCTGCGCCAGTGGTCCCTTCCCTCCACTTGCGTGCGTTTGTGGTCCCAGCTGCCATGCCGGCCTTGTGTTATGATTGCACACTGACCATCTCTGCGTGTGTGCCTTGCAGGTGGAGGGGAGGGGCGCGTGGGTCAACACCGACACTCTCCCACGCCCCTCCCCTGTGGCCGTGCAGGTACCCACGGGGATGGGAGGGCGGCAGCACTGCAGCAGCTTGCAGTTGGTGCCACGAGGGAGAGTATCGGGGTGGGCTGGCCTCTCAAGGTGCGCTACCTCCCTCCTTCAAGTTCATTTGTTGCTGCAGTTCTCTCTGCATTGTTCCCTTGTTTCCTTTGTCAGCTTATGCGTTTTCCTGTTGACTTTAGTGTTTCTGTTCACGTCAAATCACTAACCTTCTGCCCATTCTCTCCTCCCCCTCCCCCTTCTCTGCCCGCCACCAGGTCACTTGGCATCAAGAGAAGATTGCAGCAGAGGAAGCAGAGTAGCAGGCCGGCAGCAGCAGTTGCAGCAGCAGAAGCAGCAGCGCAGCAGCAGTAGGGGTGGGAGGCTGGGCAGGAGATTAGGCTAGGCATGGTGTGAGCAAGGTGTGGTAAAAGGTTTGGTATGGTACCAGGTGAGATATGGTGATCTGATTCCCTCCTCTCTCTCTTCCCCCTCTTCTCCCCTGCAGGCTGAAAGTGGGAGCACTGGAGCAAGGACGGGATAGTGGAGTCCTCCTCCTCTTTCCCTTCTCCCTTCCCTCCCAGCAGCACACTCCTGGACCACAGAGGAGTCTATCCCTCCCCTAATCCTCCATTCTCTCTCCACTTCCCAGCAGCCTCAGCATCATGGCGCTCTCCTCGTCTGAGGTAGGTACAGGTGAGTACGCATGGGGGTGAAGTGTGGGGAGGGTGGGTGGGGGTGTGGGAGCAAGCGGGGAGTTCACTGCCTTAGGGGCAGCATCCTCTGGGGTTGTGACTTGTGAGTCGGGGTGTGGTGGGTGGAATCTGTGCGGCACGGCACTCGGTGCTCAAGTAACCAATCTGACGTTATGGCTTAATGGGCACCGTCAGAGCCGACCGGCCGGCGGCTCTGGTTCGCGTCAGCTCTAGCTACGTCAGGGGCGGGATTTGAGTCTTGGGCTGGAAGCAATTTTCCACCACACTTCATCACACAAGGCTCAGCCTCAGGGGTTGCTGTTTCCTTAAGGAAGTGGGCTCTCTGCTGCTCCTACTGCTGGCAGGTAAAGTTGGGGATGGGCTGGGTGGGTGAGTGAGGGAGAAGGGAGCTGAATTTCGTTGTGTGGGTGAGTGAGAGAGACAGGGCCTGAATCGCGTTGGTTGGGTAAGTGAGAGAGAAGGGTACTGAATTCCCTTGAGTGGGTGAGTGAGAGAGAAGGGGGCGGAATCCCCTTGGGTGGGTGGGTAGGTTATGTATGAGACAGAGTGGGTGGGATAGGGTTGGGTGGGATGAGGCGGGTAAGGTGGGTAGGTTGGTAAGGTGGTTGGTTTTGGTGGGTCAGTGGGATGGTGGGTAGATGGTTCGTTGGGTATGTGGGCGGGTGGGTAGCTGGGTGGTTGAGAGGTGGGCAGGCGGGTGGGCAGGTGGTCGGTAGGTGGGTGGATAGGTGGGTGGTTGATGGGTTGGGTGAGTTATGGGGTGGGTGAGTGGGTGGGTGGGTAGATTGGTAGGTGGGTCAATGTGTCGCTAGGTGGGTGGGTTGGTAGGTGGGTAGGTGATGGGTGGGTAAGTGGATAGGTGGCTGGGTGAGTGGTCGTGGGTGATGGGTGGTGGTGGGTGGTGAATGGTGGTGGGTGATGGGTGGTGGATGGTTGGCGGGGGTTGGGCTGGGTGAAGGTAGAATGGGATGAGCAGCAGTGGGGTAGGTGGGGATCAAGCAGAGTGGGTTGGGTTGGGTATGGTGGGATGAGGTAGAGTGGGTTGGGCAGGGTATGGTGGGATGAGGTATAGTGGGTTGGGCAGGGTACAGGTGGGATGTGGTAGAGTGGGTTGGGTAGGGTACGGTGGGATGAGGTAGAGTGGGTTGGGCAGGGTACGGTGGGATGAGGTAGGTGGGTTGGGCAGGGTACGGTGGGATGAGGTAGACTGGGTTGGGCAGGGTACGGTGGGATGCGGTAGAGTGGGTTGGGCAGGGTACGGTGGGATGATAAGGTGTGCTATGATAAGGTATGCTATGATAAGGTGTGCTATGATAAGGTGTGCTATAATACAGTGTGCTATGATAAGATGTGCTATGATAAGGTGTGCTATAATAAGGCGTGCTATTATAAGGTGTGGTCTGATACAGAGTGATGATGAGTGTGGTTTGAGTAATTCTTTGGTTTGCTACATTGATTGGTACGCAACGTTGTTTGGTATGGTACATCGATTGGTATGCTACATTGATTGGTATGCTACATTGATTGGTATACTACATTGATTGGTATGCTACATTGATTGGTATGCTACATGGTTTGGTATGCTACATTGATTGGTATGCTACTGTGATTGGGTGAAATGGGCTGGAACGCCTTCCCTTCTTTTCTCTTTTCTCTGTACCGTCCCTTCTCTGTGAGCCGTCCCTTCTCTGTGAGCCGTCCCTTCTCTGTGAGCCGTCCCTTCTCTGTGAGCCGTCCCTTCTCTGTTTGCCGTCCCTTCTCTGTGTGCCGTCCCTTCACTGTGTGCTGTCCCTTCTCTGTGTGCCGTCCCTTCTCTGTGTGCCGTCCCTTCTCTGTGTGCCGTCCCTTCTCTGTGTCCCATCCTCATTTGTTCCATTCTCGTCCACAGGCGTTCGTTCCCTTTTCCTGGGGGCCATGCATGTGCAGCTTCCCTCCCAAGGCACGGGTGAGCGTGTGCAGGATCCCTGCCATTTATTCAACAACTCATGCTCACATGTTTGTGACCCCTTCCCTTTGCCTCAGGGCCACCCATGTGCATGGGCTGGGCAACACACCGTCCTCCACCGATGCAAAGGTGGTGACGGCGCCCATCCTTGGATGCTTCTCATGCCGCCTTTCACCTGCCTCGTACCACGTCCCCTCCCATCACAGCAGTTAGGCACTCTGCAGACTAGATTGGGTACATGTGCCTAGCGGGAAATCCCACCATCAATTCATAGGACTTCAATGATGTGCAATTCCTATTCATATGTTGGGAATTGATCGAAATGAAAAAAATGATGTCGTGAGGTATTTTATAAAATGTGTCCCAGGCTACATCAAACCAGTGGCATATTGAAATTTGCAGTGTGGATGTGCAAAAATGCATTTATGAGTAGCTTTGCTCAAATCTCCAAGGTGTTCCTCGTTTTAATAACTTATCATCTTTTGCATGTTCAATAACCTTGCGCCTCGACTTTGCCGCCAACTCTCTTCGAAAGTTGTCAGGTCTCGTGTCTGACACCAGGTGTCCTTGAGCCAGCAATTTCTTTCACCGCCTCAACCCGTCCGCACATCTCATTCCACCCCTCCCAACCCAGGCACCTCCCAAACCAACGCACTTCCCAACCCAACCCAACGCACCTCCCCTCCTCCCGCTTTCGATTCTCCTGCAGCATCAATCACAGCAGTTGTACTCACCAGAATTCAGCCGCACTGCCGCCACCTGAAGCAAGGGAGTCCCAAGGCATCTCCTCGCCTCCTTTCTTCGCTTCCATGGCTTCACCAGCAGATCTTTCAGGCTTCGCTCTTAACTCCAGGTCCAGATACGTGAGCTGCTGGTCGCACTAGCCCTAACTTCACTTGCATACCTGCACTAACCTAACGGTTGCGGTTTAGTTGACGCGACTCGGTCTGCCAATCATTAAGTCTATGTCTTTCTAAGCCGAATATAGTTAGGGCGGTGTGAAGTAGCTAAGCTGATACCGAGTTAAGGCTAATGCGACGCTAAGCTGCTAGTTCAGCCGTTATTCAGCGTCGCTGCAGTTCATTTTAACAACGTACTCGTTATATAGGTATCGATATTTACCAGAAAAATGGCGTCGTCACTGCTATAGCTGTCGAAATTTAGCTGCTGCTTCTGCCGAAAAAGTGACGTCGCTGCTGTTGCTACCGTCATAACAACTTCAACTACGGTTCCCGGCGTTCAAAGCGACGTTTAGGGCGTAGTTGTTTTGAAGCTGACGTTTTAAACACAGCTGACGTTTTAAACTAGCTGACGTTTCAAACATAGCTGACGTTTTAAACATAGCTGACGTTTCAAACATTGCTGACGTCTTTTCGTCGTGAAGCCAACGTTGATGCCATTTCCGCGAACTAAGCGACGTCCCTGCCGCGACGAGACGAGAGCAACGACTGCAGCAGCAGCAGCAGCATGAGCAGCATGAGCAGCGACGGGTCAACCTGGAACACGGGAAGCAGCAGCATGCTGCTTGGAACACGTGGCGCAGCAGCAACCGAGCAAACTGGAGCAACGAGCGTCAGAGGCAACGACGCAGAGCTGGTCACGACGAGACGGGAGCAGCGTCTGCATCAGCAGCAGGTGCAGCGATTAGTTGAACACGGGCAACTGGGCGACGACGCAGAGCTGGTCACGACGAGACGGGAGCAGCGTCTGCAGCAGCAACAGGTGCAGCGATTAGTTGAACACGGGCAACTGGGCGACGACGCAGAGCTGGTCACGACGAGACGGGAGCAGCGTCTGCAGCAGCAGCAGGTGCAGCGATTAGTTGAACACGGGCAACTGGGCGACGACGCAGAGCTGGTCACGACGAGACGGGAGCAACGTCTGCAGCAGCAGCAGGTGCAGCGATTAGTTGAACACGGGCAACTGGGCGACGACGCAGAGCTGGTCACGACGAGACGGGAGCAACGACCGAGCAGCCAGGCGTGACGACTCATATGAAAGCGTGGCGCAGGAGCGAAAGAGCGGTTTATGGGAGCGACAGGCACATGGTACGTGCCAGGGAAGCTTGCTGGGGGAAGTGTAGTGAGTCGCCGCGCAGAGGCAAGAGTCGTGTCTCTTGCCCTTGCCTCCACCACTCGCCTCCTCTCCTGCTGATCGCAACCCTTCCTTTTGTGTGCGTGTTTTTCTCTTCTCATGCCTTTGTGTGCCTCACGGCCTGCGGAATGGCGCGGAGTGGACGCGGAATGGCGCGGAGTGGACGCGGAATGGCGCGGAGTTGACGCGGAATAGCGCGGAGTGGACGCGGAATAGCGCGGAGTGGACGCGGAGTGGACGCGGAATGGCGCGGAGTGGACGCGGAGTGGGCGCGGAGTGGCACGGAGTGGACGCGGAATGGCGCGGAATGGCGCGGCGTGGCGCGGAGTGGGCGCGGAATGGACGGGAGTTGAAGTATCGCAGGGCGTCGCCGTTGCTGGCTCGCCTGAAGTGAAGGCGGGGCACATGAGTGGGAGAGTGGTGGACGGAGCATGGTACGTGCCAGGGGGTGCTTGAGGGGGGCATTGAAGTCTCGTAGGGAGTCGCCGCGCAGAGGCAAGAGTCGTCACCATTCGTCTCCTTCCTCCTGCTTCTAACTCTCCCTTGTTGCGCCGTTTCTGTGTGCGTGTCGTTCTTCCCATGCGTGTGTGTACCTTACGGCCTGTGAGATGGAGGCGAATGGCGCGGAATGGCGGAATTGCATGGAGTGGAGTGGAGCTTACGTTGCAGGCTCGCACGAGGGACAACCGTTCAGCGAGGAGAAGGGGCAGCACCGGCTAGGCACATTGGCACATCAAAGGCAGACACACGGTGGCGGTCGTGACGAGAGCAATGACTGCAGCAGCAGCAGCAACCGAGCAACCAGGAGCAGCACACACGCCTCAAGTGAAAGCGTGGCGCAGGAGAAGCAGAGTGGCGGGCGGGGTGTGGTAAGTGCCGGGGGGTGCTTGCAGGGGGGCATCAAAGAGAGTCGTAGGCGTCGCCGCGCAGAGGCAAGAGTCACGTCTGTTGGTTTGTCCTCTGCCACTCGCCTCCTGCTGCTTCTGACCCTCCCTTGTCGCGCTGCTTCTGTTTGTGTCCCTCTCCCCTGTGCATGTGTGGCCTCACGACCCATAAGGCGGGCGGAAATGGCTGCGAGTGGACGGGAAATGGACAGGAATGGGCGGGGCTGCTGTTGCTCGATCGCACGAGGAGCAGCACGCGTCACGTGAAGGCACGGAGCGTGGTACGTGCCAGGGAGTGCTTGCAGGGGGGGGCTGAAGAGAGTCGTAGGGCGTCGCCGCGCAGAGGCAAGAGTCGAGTCTGAAGGCATTGCCTCCACCATTCGCCTCCTGCTGCTTCTAAACCTCCCTTGTTGCACCGCTTCTCTCTGTGTGCGTCTCTCCCTTAGCGTTTGTGTGCCTCACGGCCTGTGAGACTGGGAGTGGCAGGGAGTGATGGAGGCACAGCAGCAGCATTGCAGCGCTGGTCACGTGTAGCAGCAGTAGCAACGACGGGCGACCTGGAGCAGCACGCCTGAAGCCTGAAGCCCGGGCAGCAGCGGGGTATCGCTTGGGGTGAAGGCGTGGTGAAGGAGCGGCAGGCTCTGCCAAGGAGCGTGGTACGTGACAGGTGGTGCTTGCGAGGGGGGGGCAGTGAAGAGAGTCGTAGCGTGTCGCCGCACAGAGGCAAGAGTCGTATCGTTTGCCCTTGCCTCCGCCACTCGCCTCCTGCTGCTTCTGACTCTCCCCTGTTCCACTGCTACTGTCTGCGTGCATCTCTCTCTCAAATGGTCCTTTGTATTAATTCAGCAGGGGGTACAGACGTGCAATTTGACTCGTGGTTCCCTTATACCTTCCGACCCATCAACCCATCCCTCTGACCCTCCCCCCCCCCCCCCTTAGTGCCCCTCTAACCCTCCAGCGTGTGGAGGATGTCCCCTAGGTGCAGCGGCCATGGGTCCGCTGCCATCTGGGGGTGCGCTGCCTCAATCCCCGCCCTGGCCTTGGTGTGCAGGGCATTCGCCTGGGAGCGCTGGAGGGCCACTGACCAGCGCTGGCTGAAGTGGCAGGCCATCTTCTTGGCCGATTTGGCCAAGGGGTTGGCCCTGAACCTGTTCCTAGCCGCTGCTGTGGCCAGCAGCTTAATGAACGCTGTCGTGGGGGCGCGTTTGCCCCGTATGTCTCGACGGCCAGGGCGCAGAACACCACGTGTTCAGTGTGCCTGTAGTAGTCCCTCTCCTTCCGCCTCTGTGCCTCCCTTGCAGCCCAGCCTGGGGGTTTGCGGGCTGTGGGGTCCCGGTTCTGTAGCACAGGGTCGGTGATAGTCGTGTCTGTGATCCAGGTCTCTCCACTGTCTGGGTCACGCACGATCACATCGGTCTTCTTCGGGTCATCCGGTGGTGAGTACATTGCATTCTCCAGGTATACCACCAGCTGCGCCTCCCTCGCCATTTTTGCCACGGCAAAGGCCAGCTGGTTGTGTGTGCGCGTTCTGTCCGGGCCTGTGCTGCAGCGGAGTAGGTGGTTGGGTAGGCTGCATGTGTGTGCCTCATGGCCTGTGAGACGGGGAATGGCAGGGAGTGGACGGCGGGTGACAAGTGTGCGGGCTTCGTTCCGGCCCGAGACACAGCAGCACCGCTGGTGACTTGAAGCAGCAGCAGCAGCGCTGGTGAGTGAAGCAGCGCCTTGACTTTTCAGGCAAGTATGTTCTCTGAACTCTTTGCCTTTTGTGATGCCACGCGCTCATCACTTGTCGTGCATGCATGTGCTTAACTGCTCTCTGAAATCTCGCCACTAGCTGGTTTTGGCCTGACTCACAAGCCACAGTCCCTTGTTCTTGCAGGTATCAGCAGCAGACAACCAGCAACCTGGAGCAGCGCGCCTAACACCTGGAGCAGCGCCCAACACCTGGAGCAGCGCCTAACACCTGGAGCAGCGCCTAACACCTGGAGCAGCGCGCCTAACACCTGGAGCAGCACCTAACACCTGGAGCAGCGCGCCTAACACCTGGAGCAGCGCCTAACACCTGGAGCAGCGCGCCTAACACCTGGAGCACGGGCAGCAGCAGATGCTGCTTGGGCCGAATGTGAGGCGCAGGAGCATAAGTGGTACGTGCCAGGGGATGCTTGCAGGGGGCTGTCAGTCATAGGATGTTGCCGCGCAGAGGCAAGAGTCGTGTCTGTTGGTTGCAGGTCGACC